ACTCAACAGGTTGAGTCGACCCATGACTGTCATGAGTCGACTCACGAAGTCTAGTTGTGTTGTCTTTTTGTTTCTGCTGAGTTAACTCGTCAGTATACGAGTCGACCCTTAAGTCATGAGTCGACCCATGACTGTCATGAGTCGACTCATGAAGTCCTTTCCTGCTATTATTTGTGTTCTGCTGAGTCGACTCATATTGAGCACGAGTCGACTTATCGCAGTATTTTCTATCTGTTTTCATTCGTGCTTCTGTTTAAATCATCTGCTGTATATATATGTAGATACATATATGTATGTATACAGTGTTTACATATTTCAAGGGTACTATCTACCACGTTTGGACTTGAGGAGTGCCTCGTTTATTGAGTATTTATTTGCAGTGAATATGATTTCACCTATATATGTGAGATGACTCTTCGGACACAAGTTTAAGTCAGTACAATAGGGTATGTACGGGTATAAGACATGCATACTTTCTTATACGCAGTCCTCGTGCTGGACTATAATCCATTAAAGTCCTCGTGTTGGACTATAATTCATTTTAATCATGTTTTAGACTTTTGCTAAACCTTGAGCATGTTACGTAATCAAGTTGGGTACATGATATATTGTATTAGGCTGGGACATGATAGCTACCCAGGTTGTGCATGACACCTATTGTAGTTTTGTCATGTTTACACTTTATTGGTAGAGATGAGTATGTATTCTTTTCTTTATTTATTTCTTATGACCAACCTCGGGTTTAATATTTAGGGATCTACAATTTGAGATACAAGGTATATACATGAGGGTTTCCTTGTTTGGATTATTTCGCTCGACGTACCTATGCTCGTGTTGTATTTCCCTAAGTACTAAAACCCATATATGTTTGTGTAAATGATTTATATTATTATGTATTAACTGTATTTTCATACAACGAGCCCTATTCCTTGGGGTTGGTTGTGATGTTGCTCGCTAGCGATTTGATGCTCGTTGTCCCTCCCCTTTTCAGGTAACGAGCCAGGAGACCGGAGAGTCGCAGGTTGACGGCGATACACTTTAGCTTCAGCCATCTATTTTAGTTATATTTTCTTTGAGCTCCACTGTAGACTTCTGTTTAGACATTCGAGAGTTTTATTCTAGAAGTTGTAAAGGCTGTGTGCCTTATTTTCTCTTGTCAGACATTTTGTATTTGAGACTTGATGAGAACTCCAGTTTATTTATTTCAGACATTTATTTGTACTCCAACATATTAGATGGTGAAATATTAATTTGATCTCTATTATTTCATCAGTTGATTCTTATATAACCTTTTACTTGCTTTGTACTACACCTGTTGTTGATTCCACTAGAGAGATAGAAATTATGATGGTGAAACATGTTATTGCACGGTGTGGTGCATGACAGGTTTGACATTTCTGGTTTCACCTCGGACTGTAGCCTTGTGTGAACCCAGGGGCGTCACACTCTCGTCGCTCACAAGTCAACACATATGGAGCGAAGGGTGGCTTAGCTTCCAGCTCACCCCTCACTACTATCTTAATATACACTCATGAAGTTTCCAATCTGCCCATGGCATCCTCTATAAGTACATATCCTATTCGTCCTGAAAGGAGGTTGGCAGGTTTGCAATCCAAAAACCCAAAAAAAAAGAGTACTTACTACAAAACACATTCTTCTTTAACCCCACTCAAGTTCATCCACTGACTTGATCATTGGAGGTACCACGGGGGAAACAAGCCTCGTCCTCTCTCGATCCTTGTGTGTGCAGGTAATTCGACCATCCGTCCTAAGCTCTAAAAACCAAACATAAAGTCGAAGTAGGAAGCAGCCTCCCCTCCTCTGACGATTCAACCCCTCGACGGTTCAACCACCCCAATTGGCTGTATGTTCACGGACATCAACACTTTCCAGGCAAGAGTACAAGTAGCAAGATGAGGGATTGATTTGAAACAACTTATAAGGATAAGGGAACCTAAGAAAAATTTAATTATTTGATTGACTAATTTTAATATAACTTTTATTTATCATATAGATAGAACTTATAAGACATACCTCTTGATTTAATTTTCTAGGACATTAATTCATCACATCTCCTATAACTAAGCATACTAGTTGTCAGAGGATATTTATATCAACTTTAATCATTTCCTGAAATTTTAAGAGAAAACATTATATATGTAGTCAAATAAAGAGCTATAAAAATTAATCTTTCTAGCCACTATTAAAATGACAGGACATCAAAACATGTTAGCATAAAAGATCATGGTCTATGATCATAAATGATCGTAGTCTATGTCTGAAGATGTAACTGCATAGGGTTAGAATTTACCCTTAATATCTGAATATTTCAAACTAATGTGGAACAAAAACAAACTGCAGTTATATCTTTATATGCATGCATATGCACATACATGAATGAAATTACTGATAGTTACATGCAAAGCATTCAAGAGAACCTTATAATATGATTTCATATCTTAAAGTATATTTCATACTTCATATGAATAAATTTTAAATTCTCGTATTATAAGAGGTTGCAAATTTGTTGCCTACAAATGAGACCTTTCAAATTTAAATTGGTTGCCTACAAAAGAGACCTTCCAAATTTAAATGGATTGCCTACAAAAGAGACCTTCCAAATTTAAATTGATTGCCTACAAAAGAGACTTTCCAAATTTAAATTTATGCATATGAATTATTCTCATAATTCTAGTCCTCTTATTCATGCTTGAATAAAATGTTTCATATGGAATTATAACAATTATCAAATAAATACAATCACATAAGCATATGACGTATAAGCCCTATTTATATGGAAAACTCATATCAAATGATTTGTAATAAATTAATAATATTGCATATGATTGTAAAACAAAAGCTATAAATGAAAGGTTTTTGCCAATACAACTAGACTAGAAACTTAACTAGATCAGCTCCTAACCAAAAACTCATAAAGTAAAAAGATTAAAGTTTTACCCGGGTAGTTTAGCCAGGTAAAGATAGTACTAAAGGGAGATCAAAGATCAATTAAGTACCTTGTTCTTTGCGGAGCACGTTACGCAACCCCTAAATCTTGCCTTAGACACCAACTAATCTAAGAAAACTAGAACCGGTTTACTTAAAGATTTCTAGTTCATTAACAGTATATGTGAATAGTGACTGTTAACAATAAATACGTAAACAGTAACTGTAAAACAGTGTCAGTAACTATGAATAGTAAATGCGTGAACAGTACTTGTGAATAGTGGTTTGTATTTGAACAGTACTTACACTTTTTACTATTTATAAAGGGCATTGTAATTTGCTGCAGTAACTATCTTGAATACTTAATTGCTACAATGTCATTAATTAATTATAATTAATTACAATAATTAAAATAAAGCAGGAAAATAGTTACAGAAACCGTATTTTCCTAGAATAAACAGTAATTGCATTTTTATGAACAAGGAAAATAATTCTCTGATGAACAATGTTCTATGTAAACAGTAAACATAAATTTTTAAAATGAACAATAACCAAAACTGTTTTTTTAAGATGAACGTGACGGTTTTAATATAAAATGAGCAGTAACCGAAACGGTTTTTTTTTAAAACAGTAACGTTGTTAACAGAAATTAAAATGGTGAATAGTAACTTTAATGAACAGTAATAATTATTTTTAATAATAATTTCGGATTAAAAACAATAGCTATAAAATAATCAATCTTCTAGATTGTTAGAAAAAACTTCAAATAAAATTATAGCATGTAAAATAAATCTGAAATAAAATAATAAGAAAGTTTGGCCTGATCGGGAGCAGTCGTGCAAACACTGCCCTAGAAGATTGAGGACCCGTCTATCGTCCTGGCGCAGATGATCCTCTCTCCCCTAGCGGTAAAAACCTCCGGAAGCGGCCGGCCTCTGTACTCGGACGAGAGAACAGAGCTTTAGCTCAGACGAAGAACAGTTACCCAAAAATAACACCAACATATGAACGAAAATATTATGCAGAGGAAAGAAAAGGAAGAAGAGAGAATTGTTTCTCTATTTTTCGAATGTGAATAATGGGTGTATATATAGGGTTGAGAAAGTCATTAAAATTCTTACAATTAATACGGTAACGTTCGTAACGTTCCCCATAATGTATAGCCGTTATGCACTAATTGTATGGACAAATTTTGAAAAACGACCTTTTCTCAAATTTAATAGGCAAAACAGACCGTCTAACAAAATATTTGGGAAAATCGACCTTTTTTTGCACGGGACTGCTAGTCCCGTGCAAAAAAAGGTCCATTTTCTCACACGTCCCCCCTCAAGAACCGCCTCACCCAACGCCTTCCCTCAGATCCAATCCGCCGGCCGCCCAGACCCATCGCGCATCCACCTTTTTTTAAACCGTGCCCAGCCTACACCCGACAGCCTCCCCTCAGATCCGCGGCCGCCTCCTCCTCCTTCTACGGCCGCCGCGATCTCACTCCCCTCAACGGCCTCCGCCCTCTCCCCCACGCCGCCGCCCTGAGCTCTCCCCTCCGCTTCGCCGTCGCCACCTCCTCCGACGGCCTCACCTTCTCAATCGCCCCCGAGCTCCGCCATGAGCCCCTCCGCACCGCCCAACCTCCTCTAGCCCTCTCCCTCGTCTCCTCCTCAGCACCACCAGCACCAGCTCCGCACGCCATCAACCCTGCCTCCCCCTTCACCGCGCCTCTCTGAGCTCCACCTCAGCTCGGATCCACCACCCCAAGCCGTCGCGCCACCAGCAACGAGTGAGTTGATTTGGAAAATCGACCTTTTTTGCACGGGACTAGCAGTCCCGTGCAAAAAAAGATCGATTTTCCCAAATATTTTGTTAGACGGTCGGTTTTGCCTATTAAATTTGAGAAAATATCGTTTTTCAAAATTTGTCTTAATTGTATTCATAACACTATTCCATGTGAGACTATTCATGAAGTCAAAATTATCTTTTTTTTTTCAACAAAATATCCAATAATCATGACCACATTTATCACTTTAATCAGATAGACTATCGTGTCAATTCAATCAATCAACTTTAAAACCGACCTCCACTCTGTGATTTTCTCTGTAGAGAGGGATTTGGATGGTATCCAAATTCCCTATAAAGCCCCAAATCGACTCTAACACTTGCCACTCACTACTACCCTCTCTACCCCCAACCAAATACCGACCATGGTCCGCATAAGCAACAGCTGCATAGGCTGCTTAAACCTCATAACCTTCCTCCTCTCCCTCCCCATCTTCGCCGCCGCCATCTGGCTCAGCACCCACTCCAGCTCCGACTGCGACAAGCTCATGAACGGCCGAGCAATCGCCGTCTCCGCCTTCCTCCTCCTCGTCTCCCTGGCCGGTTTCATCGGGGCGTGCTTCAGGGTCACCTGGCTCATGTGGTTCTATCTTATAACCATGTTTCTTGTTATCCTTCTTCATGTTTGTTTCATAGTGTTTGATTTCACGGTGACCGCGAAGGGGAGTAGCGGAGGGGAGACGATGAGGGGGAGAGGGTATAGGGAGTATCATCTTGATGACTATTCCCGCTGGTTCAGGGATGCGATGGAGGATGAGGATAATTGGAGGAGGACGAGGAGCTGTGTGGTTGATAACGGGGTTTGTAAGAAGTTGGAGGAGAGTGGGAATGAGACTTACAGCCAGTTTTTTAAGAGTCATTTGTCGCCGATTGAGGTAATATACTTTGGCTCTCATCTCTGTCCTGTAAGATTTCATGTCCTGGTTTCAAAATGTTATTTTTCTACTAATTTTAGTAAACCATATTCAATGTTTAAATATGCATAATTGAATTTCTGCCAATCGTGTCTAATGAAAAGGAGTAGTTTAATTAGAAGTATGAAAACTGAAAAAACTTATGCTAATCATGTTTAGATTAAACGAAGCAGCTTCCATCATTAGAAGGAAGGGAATTTAATTACGTAAAGGGTAAATTTAACAAAACACCCCCTTTTAGGTTTGGGCGTTGCTTAGATAAACCCCCGTCCCCTTAACATCTAAAAAGTTACAAAACCCCTCTTGAGTTTTGGGCTTCGCAGAAAACCCTTCAACTTTCATGGTGTCTAGGAACCACAGAAGGTTTTGGGGGTCGGGTGGCGTGGGGTTTGAGACATTTTGAATGTTTGGAGGGTTTATCTGAGGAATGCCCAAATTTAACGGTGTTTCTAAAATTTACCCATAAAAATATTTACAATATTGTCGAAAAACCTCTTTTTCCTAACAGAAGGGTATATAAATACTCATCAAATTACCAGAAATTTGGTCCTTAGAAATCTATATTTAAATTTAAAAAAAGGAGCGATCAGATATTATACCAGCCTCGTTGCCATTGAGTTTCCCAACGGCTTCTACCTCTAAAGAAGTGGGAGCCTATCTTGATTCTTTGATCTTTGCAGTCTGGATGCTGCAAACCCCCAGCAGAGTGCGGGCTCGTCTACCAAAAACCAACAGTGTGGACCGAACCAAAGGGAGGCTTCACCTCCCACAACCCAGACTGCAAGACTTGGAGCAACAACAACACCACCTTGTGCTACGACTGCAACTCTTGCAAGGCCGGAGTTATCGCCAACGCCAGCATGTACTGGAAAATCTCCGCCGTCGTCAACATTGTCTTCATCGCCATCCTCATCGTCGTCTATGCCATTGGTTGCTGTGCTCTCAAGAACAACAGGGAGGATAATGCTCTTCCCAAATTGAAAGGATTCGTTTAGATTCTCAGTTTGGAGGTTTTGGCTCGTCTTTGGCGGTTTTGCTTGTGCTGTCTTATCCTCTAGCTCGTTTGGTGGTGTAATTGCTTGTTGGGTGGATTTGGATCCTCTCTAAATCTAGTGATCAAGAGATCACTATTTTTATCATAGTCATTGATTTGTTTAGTATGTAGTTGTAATTTGTCTTTGAATGTAAATTAGGAATGAGTGCAATTTGAGAGAGTATGATGAGAACTAGATTTAGAATAAATTAAGATATCTACTAAATAAATTAACGGTTATGATCAAAATAGTGGTCTCTCCATTACTTTTTTATAGTGAAGAATCCATATCGTGGTTGGGTGTATAGTGAAGAATCCATATCGTGGTTGGGTGTACAATGTGCATGAATAATTACTTGAAACTTTACGTTTTGTGCTAATATGTTGTTGCTTTACTTATTCCATTGACTTTCCTTAAGAATCTATATTTGATAATATTTCTATCTATCATATGTTTCTATCCATTTTAAGAAAAGACAGAGAACAAATAGATGAAATATAGTAATAAAATGAAGCTTAAAATACGTAGAGAAAGGAAAGACATGATATGCACAAAATTTTAGGATTTTTGGCAAACCCTCAATCATCAACGGGTTTGATGAGCCTTTACCGACTACTGTTTGAGTCGGGCTAGCGTGCGAATTGTTTAATTCTGTTCCGCACGTAACGTTGTGCTAAAAGAGTTAACTCATTTAGTGCTACGATATTGAATACGTAGATTTCATCTTTCTCACGTGAAAAGACTAAACAGCGACGTGTGTTAGGGGTAGACTTTAAGATTTTTGGCAAACCTTCAGCCTTCAACGGGTTTGATGAGCCTTTACCGACTACCATTTTAATCGAGCTTGCATGCAGATTGTTTAAGTCTGTTCTGTATGTGACGTTGTGCTAAGAGAGTTAACTCTCTTAGTGCTACGATATTGAATACGTAGACTTTATCTTTCTTACGGGAATAGACTACCCGGTAACGTGTGTTAAGCGCTGACTTATCCCTATTTAGGCTTTGGGATAAAAGTTCCCAGACTTGGATTCTGGTGTCTTCTTCAATCGGTGCAAGACTAAACTAGCAATGCGTATTAGGCGTTGACTTATCCCTTCTTAGGATTTGGGATAAAATTCCTCGTATGTGTAAGGCACGGATTATGGTGTTATGAATAACAACCTGCCACAATGTCGAATATGTGGGCTTTTGTCCTTTTTACGACAAAAGACTAACCGACAACGCGTGTTAGGTGCTGACTTATCCCTACTTAGGCTTCGGGATAAAATTTCCCAGACTCAAATTCTGGTATCTTTTTTAATTGGTGAAAGACTAACCGGTAACGCGTGTTAGGCATTGACTTACCCCCTTCTTAGGATTCAGGATAAAATTCCCTGTGCGTGTAAGGCACGGATTATAGGAGTTGAAAAGGTGGTGTCTTCTCTTGGGGTAAAGACGAACCTAATGCTAGAGAGGAAGAATTTTATATTCTATCTTCAGGTCTTCTTTTAGGATAAAGACAAACCTGATGCGGAAGAGGAAGAATTTTATATTCTATCTGCCAAAGCTAAGAGAAAGAATTTTATATTCTATCTCCAGTTGCAAAGGAAACTCAAAGTGGGATCTCCACTTCAAGAATCCGAGAAAGTGAAATTAAGAGTGTGATCTCCACTCCGAGAATCGAAAAGATTCAGGTAATCCTAACTGTCAGAAGGTTTGATTACCGAACTAAAGATGAGTTTCTCGTTTATCGAGAGTGAATTGCGGTTTTGGTCCTAACTGTAGGAAGGTTTGACCAAGATGGGAATTTGAGGTGACCCTAACTGTAGGAAGGTTTGATCAAATGAGGGGTTTGAGCGATCCTAACTGTTTAAAAGTTTGATCGTTCAATTTATGGACCTCTCGTTTATGGAATGAATCGAGAGGGGATTTTGGCTGTGGTCCTAACTATTTAAAGGTTTGATTGTTCACTTTATGAACCTCTCGTTCATTGAAGGAATCAAGAGGAGATTTTGGCTGTAGTCCTAACTATTTAAAGATTTGACCAAAATGAGAATTTGAGACGACCCTAACTATTTAAAGGTTTGATCGTTCAATTTGTAGACCTCTCGTTCATGGAAGGAATCAAGAGGGGATTTTGGTTGTGGTCCTAACTGTTTAAAGGTTTGACCAAGATGGGAATTTGAGACGACCCTAACTGTTTAAATGTTTGATCGTTTAATTTGTGGACCTCTCATTCATGGAAGGAATCGAGAGGGGATTTTGGTTGTGGTCCTAACTGTTTAAAGGTTTGACCAAGTGAGAGTGGGAGTGTAACTCACAATGGGAGTGTTGATTCGTACAAATCACTCAAAGGGGGTTCCTGGTGTTAAGTGATAAATACTTAACACAGAGGGATTTAACAATTGTCAATGATCAGGAGATTAAAATTTTGAGTACTATGTCCGGACTCTAACAATGAGAGGGTTGAGTACACAGACATAGCAGGAGTTTGAGTGGATTCAACCGAGAGGAATTTTGGTGGTCCCACCGTTAATTAGTCTGATCGGTGGGGGATTTTATGGTGGAAGACTGTGAGTCGTCAAACACCTATGGGAGTTTTGTGAGGGAAAATTAATCCAGCGAAGTGATCGAATCTCGTCTCAGCAAAAGAGTGTTCAGAAATCACAGTAGGAGTTTAGTGTTTATCACTTTGTTCGTAATGATCGAGTTATCCCTAAGAAAATTACATGTAGCATTCTTCCTGGAACTTCCCGTTACATGAATCACCCACCCCCAGCTTTATTTTCGAACCTAGGTCTAACATTGTACTTAGTTGGATGATCGGGTTATCCTTAAGAATATCATGCATGGCACTCTCCAGGAACTTCTCGTGAAAGAAAGGAAATAGTTTAGACTCGTATACCTGTTAGAGTATTAAGAAACAGTTAATACTCGTATACTCTTCGGAGTGGTGCAATGTCATTCGGTTTATTCTAGCGTTATAACGCCAGAGTCTATTAAGGCTTGAATCTTGTTCTTTAGACCGAAACAAACCTCAGTAGGATGGAGAACCCTCCTGTGGTACGCACAGTAGTTTGGGTCCGTAATCCTTTTAGCTCCCTCCTGATCTTTAATAAGTGGTAGTTCGATCTCATCGTTATTCAGGAGGTACTCGAAAAAATCTGGAACTTCCTCATCCTTGAAAGAGTACTCTTTTTGGAGTCTCGAATCTGGAAGCCTTTGCTGTTTTTGAGGTTGTTGTTGTGACGTCTGATTACTATCACCAGCAACCACAGGCATTGACTGCTGGCTTGTTTCGGTATTCTTTCTTCTGATGAAGCGTTCGGCTTGTTCGCCGCGCACCTTCAAGTCTTTCCAAGTCTTGGACGGGTTTAATCCCATAACTCCCAACACGTCCAAAGAGAGGTTGTTGTGGCAAGTTTATAGGATGAATTCCTTCGTGATCGGATCTCGACAATTTATTGCCTTACTCCAGAAGCGTTTGACAAAGTCGGCGAGCAGTTCTCCGTCTTTTTTCTTCTCATGGAAGAGTGTCCTGACTGACACCTCGGTGTCATCATCAAAGAAGTGGGCGAGGAACAGGTTTTCTGGGTCGTCCCAGCTATTGATGCTCTCTGGCTTGAGTCGGCGGTAACAATCGAAGGTAGGCCCGCAAAGGATTCTAACGAATGACCGCACCATCAGGGGCTCATTCCTGGAAATTATGCCCCAATGAGACTTAAAGTAGATCAAATGTTGAGTGGGGGCGCCCTTCCCGTCGAATGACATGAAGTTGATCGGGTTAAATTTTGTTGGATACGGGATTACGTCCCATTCCCTTGGATAGGGATACGGAATACCGGTCTTTTTTACTTTTTGGGCGGACATCCAGGCTTTCACCTTATTTTACAGCTCCTTCATCTTCTCATCCTCGCTTGTATTTTGCTTTGGGCAATTTTAGGGAGGAATAGCATGGCTACCCCCAGCGTTGCCATTATCGGTGGGACCACCTCCGCGTTGTCATTATCAATGAGACCAACCCCAGCGTTATTATTGTCGGGATGGGTATCAATTGTTTGCGTCAAAAGTTGGTTTTCCTGTGGAATTCATTATATCTTCGGTCGATTACAACAAATTCAAGAGAGATAGCCTTTTTATAAGACTTCTTTTACACAACAAAAGGAAGATTACAACTTTTTAGAAACAAACGCAGGATCGTTGTTTGGATCGCTGCTTGCGTGGGATCTTTGCCTGTGCCGGGAGCGCTTTGACTCGTGGACCACCGATTCACAAATTCTGATTGAATCGTGAAGGTTTTGGGAATTCTTCCTTCGTTTATCGAAGTAAGAATTTAAATCGAATATCTTATCGATGTAATATGTTCACTCTTCTAAAGATCAAGTCAGAGCTTAGATCTCTAGGAATCACCAAAAGCTTCTTGAGGGTGTTTGTGAAGAAGGAAGACTCTCTCTCTTGCTCGAATTCACCAAAAACTCAAGGCTCTATGCTCCAATCTGTTCCCAAAATGCTCTCTCTCTCTTTTATTTCGTGTCTAGGGAGGTATTTATAGGGGTAGGAATGCACAACAATAGAAATGGGGGCAAAACAACCGACCGGGTAACTGTTCTTTGGCCCCTACAGTCTACACTGCCGCGGCTATTGGTGCGGCAGTGTGGACTGCCGTGGCCAAAAAGACTGCCGCGGCTATTGGCGCGGCAGTATGGACTGCCGTGGCCAAAGAGGCAGTTACCAGCACGTTTCATCGTGCTTGAAACCGTTCTCCCACAACCTTTAACCACTTCTCTCGTGGTTTAACTGCTTGTCCACGTCAGCACACGTTCTACCTCTGATATGCCACCACGTGGACTCCAAATAATCATCATATAACTGCCTCGTAACCACCATAGCACGCCCTATAATAGCCGCTACACCTTAGGCTGTCGCGCCTTAGCCGCGACACGATATGCTGCCGCGCCTTAGCCGCGGCACCATATGCTGCCGCGCCATGGCCGCGGCACCATGATCTGCCGCGCCTGAGCCGCGACACCAAGCGCTGTTTGGTTGTGTGTACATGTCGTCTCACTTCATTTGAATGATTCCCCCTGATTAAGAGAATGGCGTTTATCGTCTTTTCTTTGTCTTGAGTAGTATTTGTATGTCTGTAAGTATTTTTTTGACGCCTACAGATACCCCCTCCAAAGTATCTCAGACTCATCATTTTTTTTAGAGGAGTCTGGGACACTTTGGATATGATAAGTTTTCCTTACAATTTCTTCAGTACTTTGTT